TGGTGGTGTCCCTGAAAAGGATGTCAATCTTTTCTACCTCCTCCATGTACAGGTTGGCAACAATAGGAGAAACTACCTTTTTTCTACCTGGATTATTGAGCATGCATCAGGATATGCATCAGAAGACTATTAATATTTGTAATGATATTAAATTGTTGTTGTTGCTTCAGTTTAGACAGTTTTTTACTTGTATCAATAGCCAGCTCCCTTATTTTAAATTTAAACCATTCCCATTTACTCACAGCTGATATTTCCAAGGCATTGACCTCCACCACCAGCTGCCTGACATCTTCACCAAAAACAGAACTCTGCAAAAGAGTATTATTGAATTTCTTTTTTTTTCTTTTTTTTTGATGGCCTCCCTTCTCCCCTTACAGCCATCCTCTCCACACCATTATTATGAAATATTTATTCTACTGACTATCTAATGTAGTTTTTTTTTTTTTTTTTTTTAATAGGATAGAAAGTAAGAAAAGACAAAGTAAGACTCCAAAATATAAGAAATATACACAAAGAGAGCACACCGCAAAACATCCGGCCACTGTCTGTTCACCTGCAAAGAACATAACAAAACACAGCAACAAAATACATATGTATAAAGAACTTAAAATATTCATGGCTTTGCAGTAAGTTTCCATATATATATATATACCCATACCTACGCCTATATACATACATACATACACATGAATATACATTCATATACATATCTATATATCTACATATAAAGCCTACATAAGCATCCCTGCATCTATTTGTGTGTGGTTGTGAGCATGCATAAGTGTATAAGGCTTCTCTAATAGAACATTTAATAGTAACTGTGAAGCAGCAGAGACCCGACCCCCAAGACCAGGGGCAGACGAAAAAAGGGGGGATCAGAGCCCAAGACCCAGGAGGGACCCCGACCGCGGAGCCCCCAGGGCCACCCACACAGGACGAACCACCCGCCCACCCCCCAGATCGGACAACAGGGGAGAGCCGGAAGAACCCCACCAGCGACCACACACAGTGACCCCCCCCGGGCCAACAGCGACGAACTCATAGGCCCCCGCCGGAACCTGCCGCACCGATGCAGGTCCAGGCACGGAGGCCCGGGCACCGAGGACCCACACCACCCAGGCCAAGGCCTGACAGGGCCAGAGGACCCGAGCCCCACCAGGCAGACACCAGGCCGAGCCGACACATGCCCAAGCGCCCAGCCCCCGACTCCAAGGGCCCCAAGCGCGCCGGCAGGCAAGGGCACACCCCATCAGGGGGCCGCGCGATAGGGGCGCGATGCCAAGCGCCCTCAGTTGTATCAAAGAGGGGGCAGTCCGAGTCTTGGCCTAACAAATACCCATTCATACACAGACACAATCACACAGTCCCAGCCTCATTCTCACACTCACTCACTCACTCAAAGACATACAATAACGATACATTTCATTCTTATTCCCGATACACACTCTATACCCCTCAGGTCCAAGACACGTACCCGCCCTCTACAGGGGGCAGCCCATGCCCAAACCCAGGAGGTAAACCCATTCATTCTCGAGCGGAAAAGAGCCAATATCCCAGACCCGGCCCAGGCCACGCCCAGCTGACAGGACACCCCCCACCATGAAGAGGACACGCCACCGACCACCCCCACACACTGCCAACAACCAAGCACACGCCCCCAGCCGACCACCCGCCAGGCCCCGGCAGCCACCCCGGCCAGCGGGCCAACCATGGCAACCAAGAGCCAAGCTCAGGGGCTCCAAGCAACCCCAGGGAGAGCACAGCGCCAGCACCCCCCACGGCAATCCCCCAGACCCCGAACCCCCACATAGTCCTGGTCAACACCCGACGGCCTGCCCTTCTCCCGGACCCCACCCCCGGAATGGCAGTTAGGGAACCAGGGGGGTGAGGAAAAAAAAAAGAGAATAAGACCCCAACACATACACCCCTGCCCCTAGATGTGCTGTTGATGTGTGTTGTTGTATAGTGCCATTAAAAAGGAAAGAAGAAGGAGCAAAGGCTGGCATGATGCCAGTTTTCCCTCCACCCCAACTCTATCCAAACCCTAGTGTCTAAATGCAAGAGCCCAAACAACCCTAAATGTGTAGAATTGAAATGAAGAGGGTGGAGGTGCATGGTGAGGGATGGGGAGAAATAACTGTAAGAGCAAATCCAAAAAAGTTCAATCTGGTCCTCTGGCCATTCAAAAAACAAAAAACAAAAACAAAACAAAGCAAAAAATATAGAAACGTTTCGTCTCTCATCCAAGAGACTTCCTCAGTCTGAGGTGCTGTTTTCAGCTCAGTCTCTTAAATAGCACCTTCTCAGAGTGGATCAACCAGTTTGCTGCTGACAACCAAAACCAGCTGATCACATGCTCAAGAAGGACCATCAGCCTAACAATGGATCATTAGCACACTGATGGCTGTTTACTGCTCACAGAGGGCTGAATGATACTAGCAATCACAGCATTGTAAGACGGGGACAGTTGAACCCGGAGGCCTCCACCCCTGTTTAATGATGGACA